GATGATTGGTTTGATCCCCTTCCCAGGTGCAGGCTGGGCCCAGGGATGGAATACTTAGCAAGTAAAATCCTTCCCGTCAGAACCTTGTGAAGGAACTGCTGGAGGACGACATGCCATGCTGTTATCCTTGCTATGTCGGTATCCAGGTTGTGTGTTTTCCTCAAGAACGCCCTTGTCTGCGTGCAGAGCAATGTTTGGAGCTTCCAGAAGCTGAGGTTGTACTGTTGAGGCTGCGCGGCGGGCCCCCTTGGGTTGCCATATGCAAAAAGGCCCAAGCGTAGGTGTTTCAGAGACCTCGTCTTTTGGAAGCGATCCATGCCTCTTTTTGTGATCTGAGTTGAGTAGAGCTCCTCAGCTCGCAGAGTGAGCTTCTGATGCGGCTTCCATGGCAGGGGTAGTGCGGATATTTTGGGATAATGGAAAAGAAAATGCAAGCTACCATTTATTGTTCAGGGTTAAAGGTTTGGGGCCTGGGGTTTGGGGTTTTAGGGTTTCAGGAGGTTCCTTACAGAAGCTGGACAGTTTCCAGCGTGATGAGCTTATTGCATCCTCTTGAGTGGAGGAGGTTCAATCGCGATGATGGGATGGTAAGGATCCATGTTTGCAGTGGGGTTCCTTGTATGTTGGCTTCCTTGGTATTGATATTAATACTTCCCCAAAATTAGGGGACCTTCATAGAGACCCCAATATATTACAATCCATACTATGTGGACCCCCATAAGAAGATCCTTAACTTGGGAAACTACCATATTGCTTTCGTCTTTTCATCGGTTCACTGCCAGAAGCCTGCTCGGGAGCCTCCTCGCACCGATGAGCAAGCTTAAGAAGGGAGATTGGGGAGTGCCTATATGGTAGTTTCCCAAAATAGGGGGACCCCAATATAGACCCCAAAATATTGTAATCCTTGTTATTGGGACCCCCAAAATGGTACCACTAATTTTGGGAAACCCCTATATGTTGTACCTATATTCACTCCCGACCTCCCCTTAAGCATCACTTGGCCCAGAGTTGCGATGCGCGGTGGTCTCAGAGCTTTGCTTGATACCCTCAGAATGGGTAGTAACATGGTCAGAGGAGGAAGACGAGGAAGGTCAAACGATTGTGCCTCGGTTCTGGGAGTTTCCTAGAATTCAGGGCCGTTTTGGGGGGGATCACTACAATCAAGGCCGTAATAATATCTTGGGGTGTACCACGAGGACCCTGTTTTTGATTCTGTCGTCAAAGGGTTCCAGTATATCCCTGTTTCTGGGCTGTTTCACGGGTCAGTAACAGTCAGTGCAGCAGTTTATGCAACGATGGAAACCCACCATGTTCTTGAGGAAGAAGTCGAAAACCTCGATGGGATACATTGACATGAGTTGCTGTCAGATGTTGTCCTGAATCCTATGCAGTTTACGGAATCAATTGCCTGTCCACCTGAAACTGCGCTTGCAACTCGGCAACTGACACGGGATGTAGATTTCATGTAAGTGGCATGGGACGCTTTAGAGTTCGAGATGTCTTTGTGGTGAAGCGTTGATAGCCCTGCTTAGCTTGTACCAAGCTTCGAAGCTCTTATCTTGTTGCCCCAGAGATCTACTTTTCCGAGCATCTTTGCAGAGCCTCGGCTCAAGCAATATATCCCCTTCTGGGGCCATTTCAACTCCGAAGATCAGTCTTCCGAGACCAATACTCCGATATGTTGGACATCAGCGGCGATGCAAAACTCAGCCATGCCGGGGTCTCTTGGTGGGAGCGGAAGGGCTGTGCGTGAACAGGGACTAGCAACTGGGTATTGACTCAGGACCAGTTCAAATTCGTTAACTCCACCTGTTTCCAGCTGGGCTTCAGTTGGACAGACCCACTCCCCTTCAGAAACCGTAGACCAAAATTCCCTTATAACTTGAAACCACCTCTACTTCAAGCCCCTTCGGCAGTGGCATCAGCCTGAACTTCTGATAGTAGGATTTGGTACTCAGTGGGCATGTGGGAGCGACTCCTTCAATACTTGCTGAAATGCCCACAAGACTTTTCAAAATAGTTCCTAACACTTATCCGCTTGCTAATTTGCGGGTGACCGCCTGAAAGTTTGGGCAGTTTAGTGGGACCGCGTTCTGTCTGAGTCACAATCCTACAAGCTTTGGGCCCTTCAATACCGAACTTTATTGCCGATGACCTCAAACTGAGGGCTTAATTGTGAAGCCTTTGAATCTCCGTATATTTTGCCAGAGATTTGAAGCTCCTACATCCAACTCCAATCAAACGTAAGCGGCCAACCTGCATCTGGACCCTTGGGCTCCAGGCCCTGGAACCCAGCGGCCGAAATTTGCATTCCTAGACTGTTGACCTCAAAGGTCTGCCTGCTTAGCTTTGACCGGCTGTATAGTTCTTTGCGCAACTGTGAGGGGTCTTGGAGATGTGCTTGAAGCTTGCATCATCGCCGAATGTTGTCACCTTCAGTGAGACTCCACAGTAGACCAGCAGCATTGGGAGCATGGTCAAGCTCAAGCATGAGGTTTGCAACCTGAGCGAGGGTCGGTGGCAAAAAGAAATAGAAGAGACGCATCATCGTAATATCATTGACCCTCTTCTAGTACAGACCTTCCTGAGCATTCTGACTCTATGCAAAACAGCTGCGGCAGTGAGTCCTCGATACGCACATCTGCGAATCATCATAGCTTACAGCATCTGCAGATTGCACACAGCTGCCATGCAGTCGCCAAGGCTGCTTTTGTGAAGCTTGCTGCTAGGTGGATTCCAAGCGTGGGTTGCGCTTTTTTTTTGTAGCTGAGCTAGGGTTCCCTAATGTTTGGTATGTGATATGGGTCGGCAAGGTACCTTCTTGGTCAGGGGTCAGCAAAGGCATTCGGTCTACCGTTTTTTGATGTCTTTGTGCCAAGGGCGTCTGTAATGGCATACAGGAACTGTGCGTACATCTGGAGCCTGTAAGGGATGTCTTTGTACATTATGCAGCAGCAGCAGCGCAGCAATTTCACACTGTTTACTCGTCTGGGCTTTGTCTGCTGGAAACATCAGAAAACTTTGTCAGTCTCACCACTCTTGCGAGTACCTGCACCTGCAGCTAGATGCAGCGCACAATACTGTGCCTTCAAATCTGCAAGAGCACTGAACTGCAGACGCCTGATTTAAATCTCAACCCCAGCATCCTCCATCCTTTCAGCAGCGGGCTCCCAGTTTGGAATTTGGCTGCGTCACGGGGGTGTAGCCTCGCAGTTCTCTGTATTCTAGTCCACCTACTATCCCTACCTGGGCCAGATTTAGCTTGTAACTCTTCTTGTATTAACGCCAAATACAAAACAAAAAGCCATGTTTTTCAATGGTCTCGGGTCAGGCCCCTAACCAGTAAAGTGGTGTAGGAGAAGTACACAGGGACTCCACCTTAATTGCCCCTATCCCTTGTGATCACGATTTACAGGATGGTGGCCCAACAAACAGTATCAGTACCAATATGGTAGTTTCCATGTTTACTCAGGCAACATATCCCTGCAGGCCGCAGTAGTATAATCCTAGTTATGGGGACCCCCAAATGGTACCCTAATTTTGGGAAGCCCCCGTATGGGTCCAGCGCTAGACTTGCCAGGCAGATGATGCCTCGGACGCTGCGAAGAGATGCCAGAAGATGCCTTGGAGGCAGCACTGCTCTATACCATAACGTTGTGTATTTGAATAATATAAATGATCCATGTATAGCATATGACGTAATATAGGGTGGTACTGTATATAGTATAATCTAACTTACTTTACTGTAGCGTAATCTAGTAATTTTTGATAGATCACAAGAATTGACCAAATTAAAGGCATGATTTGTGTGCCATCCTTCCTCAAGGCCTTGAAGCTCCTCTTGGATGCCGGAGTTTCTCAAAATGATCCCCAGGCAGTCCTTTCGCGGACACCTATCATCCTCCTAGAGCTCTCATACATACCCAAGGTCCTGAGGAAATCCCACAGAGAAACCCCCTAGAAGTTCTAGTGATCAGAAGGTGACAGTCTAGCTTGCGATAGCTACTTTCCATCGGAGGAGCCATGCTGATTCGGGCATCATGCGTATGGTGCTACGATGAACTCTGGTGATGAGTGCTACAGCCTGAGCCACTGATGGTAATAAGGAACCGTGCGGATTACCAAACTCTAAACCTGGACATGAGCCCTAAACCCTAAACCCTGGCATTCCAAACTACTGCAGTTTGGAGAGAGGAGTGATGCAAAACACCCCCAACCCTAAACCCTGAATCCTAAATCCTAAACCCAAGCAGGTGTGATCCTGGCGTGCGCAGCTGTAGCCTTTACCTCGGTCGTCTTCGTGGCCCCCCAGAGAGGAGGGCCCCGAGGCGAGAAGGGTGAGCAGGTTGGTTTAGAGTTTCTGGGTCACAGATGGATACAGTTGTATGAAGACCCAGTAGTAATAAGTAAGTAAAGCTATAGGGTGAGGAAGGGTTGGGGATTTAGGAAGAAGGCTTAGGGCTGAGGCTTCAGGGTCTCATAAGCCTTGGTGCCCGTGATTGTGGTTCCCTGGCTGCAAGGTTAAGGAAGGGACTATACTTCTAGGTTGTCCGCAGAAAGCCATATGGCGCTATGTCCTTCAACAGTGTGCGCTATGGTCCCCATTGCAAGAGGCCCTGGGTGAAAGGTCTCATTCTGAGACATCGGCATCGTACAAATGGCGTTGGGCGGGTGGCCTGCGAGGAAAAACTGAAATTTGTATCAGTTTGGTGGGGCCCAGTTTTCGAGTGACCCTTTTAGACAAAAGGAGACACTAACATGTAGACTTGGCCTCCCCATATAAGGCTCAAAAGTTGTCAAAAGGCAAGCCCTCGACCCATGGAACGAGTTTTCTCTGCTTTTCTAGTAGGCACTTTGCATGATATTCAGGGGCGCCTCTGTTCTATGAACACATGCGGGGGTTTTAGCAAGTTTGTTTTCCTCGCAGCCGGTCATGTGTGTGTTTTGCCAGGCCTGCTGCTGCTGCTGCTGCTGCTGTTGCTGCCGCCGAACTGCCGCAGGTCCCTTGCGAGTGCGGTGCGCAGCCGGCGCGGATGCAGTTGAGGCCAAGATGTCATGCAGGAGCTTGGGTGACAAAGGAATCTCCAAGGTAAGGATTGCTCTTTCAAGTATCGCTCAAATGACTTTAATAATGTTGAATAAAGTTTTTGTTTCCATGCCTTTTTGGAAGCTACCGGTACCATGTACTGCTGTTGCCACTGCTATTGCTGCTACTTCCTTTCACTACTGAAGTTGAGGTGAAGGGTGAACTGTCACCTCTCTTCGATTACGTCCTGATCAAGGCGAAGGCGCTTGGGATTTTTTTCCGCAATGCTGTACGGAGTTGCCGGAAAGAGAGGTCCCATTTTGAGGAGTCTCCTTTGCGGGAATCTCCGCAATCAGGGTTCATTTGTGAAGCAGCTGACAGGCCATCCTGGCCTTTTTGGGATGGCTACCTTTGTGTTGTCTGTCTCAGCCCACGAATTCCCAATTCTCATGTCGGCTTGCTGGACGTGGCCGAGAAGTCACGGATCTCAACCTTTGCTTGTCAGCCATGATTATGTGGATAAGGCAGAACATCTAGAAGGTATGAGGAGGTGGTAGAGCCCAATAGGGTTCTCACGCAAAGCTACTTCACTTTGTGTTTGTTCAAAGGGTAAATCGGATGGTGGGGCTGTAGTAATTACAGCGAAGCGTGAATTCAACGGATTGCAGGTTCAGTTGGGATCCGTCTTCTTGGAGTCGCGCGTTGTTTACATCCAACTGCGCAGGTTGGCCCCTTCCTTTTACATGCGCGATTCCTAACTTAGGCAACTTAACACTGCAAATTCATCTCTCCTCGTGTTGAATGTATGCGCTTGTGCATATGTTATTAGTTCTATACATGCATATAAGATCTTTACCTATGACTTTCCCAATTCCTCTCCCAATTCCTGGGGCAGGAAGCCGTGACCACCACCAAATCAGGGCTGCTGCTGCCAACCTCCTCGGAGACCGGGTGGAGTAGTGTTAAATTGTTCAAGTTGATGTGTGACAGAAGTAGTATTGAATCTAAAGGATCGAGAACACTATGCTGGCATCATTTTGGTGAACGTCTATTGCATCACAAGCCAAATCCCAAGCCCCAACTCATGAGCATTTAGATTTATGAGCCGGACTGTTTAAGAGTATGAGCATGTTTCCTGGGTCTTACAGTAGCTATGAAGGGGGTATGGGAATTTTGAGGGACTGGCGGGATCCCAGTAAGGCACAAGAGCACGGCATTCCAGGGATTCTTGATTTTGGGATACGCCGCACTGACAGGGAGCCGGCCAGGATGCATCTCAACAGGGGTGTAGGGTTTAGGGTTTAGGTTGAGGTCCAGTGTCTGTGTCACAGTTTCGCTGCAGAAGCATCCTCTGCAGCTACGCGCGTGCCTATCCTTAGATCCTTGCCTATTAGACCTGTTAGACCTGTGCAGCATCTGGCCACCCCTTGTTACAAAAAGCATTGGAATCCTTAAGACCTACCACATTAGGGTCCAAGTTTGGTACCCCTAAATATTAATTAGGTGCCGTACTACAACCTGTAGCCCAACAAACCCAAGGCGCTGCTAGTTGCAGATGCGCTCTTGTTAGCTAAGCAGCGGGATGAGCCCATTCTGGAAGCAAAGCAAAAAGGCCCCTCTACTAAAGGCACCATTTCATGACTTATAAGGGAATAAGGGAATAGTTAATTGAGGGAATATTTCGGGATTATACTCCCTTATTCCCTACTAAGAACTGTTCAGATGAGTTGTGCTCTCACAGGAGAAGCCGAGTGAAGGAGAGGTAGTGGCTGTTGGCCCTGGTGCTGCGAAGGCCGTGCTGACAAGTTCTGCAGAGGGTAATCATATGTGATCATAGTCTACAAGGGTGCATATCAAGTTTTACAAAGGTGTATATCAGAACTTGGGTCCCTTGTGCAGCCTCGATATAGACCATATCCTCCAGGGAGACCTACGAACGGACTTCATAATCCAGAGATTCTGAAGAAGACCACGCAGGGTCCCTGTCTTGGGGCTGAAGGAGTCAGGCCTGCTTTTGAGGTAGCCGAAATTTAAGTGGCAGTCTGGAGATTTTCCGTTGTATGTGTTTGGGGTTTTGACTTGTCCTTTTGGGTCAGGTAATTTGTTGGGAAGCTCACGAGCTCCACGAAGTACAAAGGAACCTTTGCACTGTGATTCCAGAGTTTTGGACAGGACTCTGGCCTGCTGGTGCCGGTCTGGGCGCAGGTGGAGAATCTGGGTGTTTCAAAACATCTTGTGTCCCACATGTTCAAGAGTCTGGTGCAAGGATCCCGCAACTTTGCATTATTGAGCTACTACTGCTACAAGTACTACTCTTGCCCCTCCTGCTGCTGCTCCTGCTTCTGCTGGGGCTGATAGGGCGACGGCTACTGCTACAACGACTCCTATGGCTGCCGCCACAGCTACTGGTACGGCTACCGCTACGGTTAATCCAAATTGACGCTACCGCTACTGATGCTGCTATTTCCATTGCTGCTGCCATTGCTGCTGCCGCCACTAAAGCCACATCGACATACTACCACCACTACCGCCAGTACCACCACTACCACCAATTCCACCAATACCACCTCTTCCATCACTAGCGGCACTACCTCAAGTGCCATCGCTGCCATCACTGCTGCCACGACCACAGCCACCACCACTACCAACCGCCATTGCCACCGCCGCCTGACACTGCCACTACCGCTACCACTACCACTTCCAGGACCACAACCACTATCGCCACCACAGGCATACCGCTACCGCTACCACTACAGCTACCTGACCGCTACCCTACCACTACCTCTACCACCATTATCCCGACATGGCTCCCCCAAGAGAAGTAGCCAGCTGATGCGCCTGGGCTGCCGAAGGTTTTGTCTCCCCAGAAGCCGGCTGAAGATCCAGAGATCCATAGACAGAAAGCTCCTGCTATTGGAATGATTTTGGGAGCTTTGGTATTGAGCGTGCCCAACCGTTGCAACCGATTGCTGCATAATCCGTGGACCCGTGGAGGTGGGTATGAAGGTCCTGCATGGCAAATACGGCGTGGAGGAGGCAGCCTTGCGCTGGGGTGTGCGCCGGATTGTTAGTTCCCAGAGAGCCCAATTGCCAATACCCCTTAATCAAGGAATATTGCCTAAATGGTACTAGGGTCCCTGATATGATTTAAGCTAGATTCCTTAATGAAGGGGTATTGGGCTCCCTGGGTTAAACCGGTGGCAGATGTCTGGTTTTGCGGATGATTATGTGTGCATGATGCTACTGTGGCAATCTGGCTGCATTTGGATACTCTTGGATTTTTTATTTGCTGTTCAGAGGCTGAGTGTCAGCCGCAAGAAATACCTGCAGTGTTCATGCGAAACAATCCAACAGGCACAAGTGCTCTGACCGAAAAACCTGAATCAGAGGCCCTGTACGACTGCAACATTCTGTTGGATTTGGCATGTCTTGGGACTGGTATGACTTGCTGGTTCTGTTTAAGAGAACTGTCTTGTTTAGGTGGAGATGGAATCACCCCTGCACCACCTCTACGTAACATCAGGAGAGAAGTAACAAGAGGCTTCGAAGTGATGTAGCATGGCTCCTTGACTTCCAGGTCAAGTATAACGACGAGGATCACGTCCTTGTGTCGTGCTCATCTGTTGCCATGAGATTGGCAGAAACAAGGGTTGTCATGCGTTGAACACATTTGTTCTAGCATACCCATTTGGGGGACAAAATTGCATGGCCTCACTACAAAACATGATGTCGCGTGATTCAGCACTAGTTTCCTCCGAAAGCCTGGTTCGTCTCGAGTTCCATGCGCCATTGTCATACTGAACAGATCCGAAAAGTTGTTTTCACAGTGGTTGCTGCGTCGGACTAGTGCTCATGTTACAACTCTTACACTGTTGCTGCTACGTTGCTGCTGCTACTCCTGCTGCCCCTCAGTCTGTCCCTCCTACTACTACTACGACTACTACTACTACTGCTACTGCTACTACTACTACTACTTCTACTACTTCTACTTCTTCTACTACTACTACTACTGCTACTACTACTGCTGTTAGGTTGCCGGGTGATGTCATCTCCGGTGATAGGAGTGCTGTGACTGGCGCAGGAGAGTTGAAACTTGTGTCCACATCCATGGAAGACATACTCCAAGGTTAAGTCGTAAGCTGTCTGTTGAGGTCAGAGATGAGGATGTTCTTCTGAGCTACTCGGGTGACGAGGCCTCCAAATGTGACTCGTTTTTTCAGAGCAAGTGCAAGCTTTCCGGTTCTTCTTGTTCATGTCGCAAGTTACCTGTCGCAGCATTGCTACGAGGAAGTAACACATCGCAAAAGCAATGGCTAGGCTCAGACTTGTGCTACCAGGTTTCCATTTTCTTCTCCATTATCCCTGAATAGCCCCAACATGCTATAGTAGTTTCCATTTTCTGTTCTACTATCCCTAAATAGCCACAACATACTATTGGTTGTTTCCATTTTTCCATGGTCCCGTCATAACATACCAGCAGCTGCCTGCCGCCAGCCCGTCCTGGAGAACATCCGCATGCCCAGGGGGAAGGCGGGGCTAAGTCAAACAGGCAATCATGTACTCGGTGCTTTTTATAAAGGGGCTCTCACAGAAGTGTCGTGCAGATAGGCTAAGCTCTAGGCGGTACAGAGCTTGACATAGTATCTGGTATATTTGGGCCGGGTAAGGTAACGACTTAATTCTCCGTAACACTTTACATTCGTTGGATGTATAACGATGTGCTTAGACATTGGTATCGACCCAATCTTCAGAAGGTTCCACTCATTGCTCAACTTGTTCCCGAATGCGTAGCAGA